ATGACAGAAAGCTAGTAAAAAGGCAGGTGAACACTGAACGGAAAATTTTGGAAACGCGGATATACTAACCGGGTATGTATTTGGTTGGAGCTCTTAGCACCTTTTTTTTCGATAAGCGTGACATTTATTTATTGGCGTCGAAATTTTTCTTGAAAAAATGCCGTGGGATTAACTTTTCTTCATCACTAATTCAATCGTATTCGAAATAAACACAATCTGGTAAGCTCCGAAACTGCCCAAGAATAAGTAAAATTACTCTGTTCATCAACATGTAACAAATTACATGAGATTCGCTCGGCCTTTATCAAGTGCAAGGGTGTGCATCACAATTTCTCAAACGATACATACATTTTTAAAGGTACTCCCTTTCCGGCGAAATCTCTCGGAAACTTATTATCATTTTTCGTTTCCTAAGTGTTTTTGATATAAAAAACAAATTAAACTTCATGTTCGCCGGAGTGCAGTGCGTTTGTGTCGTCTAAACACTTCTCTGTAAGCGTATTTACGGGGAAAGCCGAGAAAAGTAATATGCTAGAATTTTTTTTTTTGCCGACCATTCTAGTTTGGTTTTGCAGTGGCGATTGTTAGAGTATACCAATATTTTAACGTAAAGTATTGCAACAGAATAAAAAGTAAGAATTACAGTAAATTCTGACATATTTTATCGGCTGACCTGTTGAAACCAGTCCTGCTGACACCAAAGTTATTTATGAGTGGGTAGATAACGTACATGTCAGTAACTAGAAAACAAAAACCGAACGGTTCTGATCCAGTATATGATTTCCAACAACTTAACTAAGCAATACAAAAAGCTATACAAAAAGCAATACAAAAAGCTATACAAAAAGCAATACAAAATTGATATCCTACATCGATGTTGGCGATGTTACTAATGAATGTTGCGTGTTGATTTTTCAAATCGGCGCTTTGCGGCTAACGGCCTTTGAATAAGAAGGTACCACGAGTAAATAATTGTCTTAGTAAGGTACTGAGCTTTCCCCTTAAACAATTGATTTAAACATCATCTAACTCGGCAGAAGTATCTTATCCTACCTGAAGAGAAATTTGTGTATTTGTTTTCAGTTTTCATTGATTTCTGTGTCGCTATCCACGAACCTGGAAGAATTACAGGGTCTGCACGACAAAATCATTCGCTCCACAGGGTGATTTGGAAAACATCCCAAAATGATAAGGAACCTCGGTGATTACTTGGCGTGCGGTAATGTTTACTAATTTGCCACATATGGCTAGTTCGAACCACTCAAGGATGCACCACGAAAGAAATTTATTATTTCTCAAACAATCGAAATTGCAAGGGTTAGCGCTGAGTAAACTGTCTAATTAAAGTTATGTTTGAACCTTGCTCATATCTTAAAAAATTAAATGTTAGTCAGCTTTGAAGAATACGCATTTCTTTTCCAATTCACAAACCTCCTTGGTCTGGCTTCTATCCACATGGCAACTTGTTTAAGAAAAATTGTTTGAAATGTTGTTTGAGGCAGATTTGCGTTTTCAAGTCTTGTATCGTTTACAAGAAATATCTAACATGATTAAAAGAGAAGAAGTAAAAAAAATTGAAGATCTCAAAACTTTCCAATTCAAAAGGAGTCCAAGATTAAATGCATTCAAGACGTTTGCTTTTACTTGGGGTGGAGAACTTCCCTCATTCTTTTCTCCTTTTGAATTTGGCACAAAATTAGATACCATACGCTCATAAACCTACGAAAAGTTTCTTTTCGTTGGCAGATTCATTTCAACAAAGACTTGGCAAAACTAAATCTTTCTGCCGATTGTTGCAACATTCTGTCATTCGTATGGCTTTTGCGGTTGATGATTTCCTTAATGAAATATTAATCACACGACAATGACTTGGTTTACCATATAGTTGTTAACTACTCGGTTCTGTAAAAACAAAGTTCTTTATTCGCGCACACACTAATCCAAGTAATAAAATGTAGAGCCAAAATTCACAAGTTTTATACCTGCTTCGT